AAAAAAAAAAAAAAAATTGTGGAATGATTTTTTTGTATTGTTTTGAAAATATATTCGTTTGATAGCCTCTATATGATTGATACCCTCAGATGATTGTAGCTTAGTTTATATTAGATTGTTGAAACAGGTGTTTTAACTTTACTTTACGTTCTCTCTGATGAAGATCAATAATAAAATTTAAACGAATTAAAAGCAAGTTTGCAAACAAGAAGAACGGAGCTCCTCTTTTCACACATCTTTTCCTCTCCTGACCTTTCATTTGATGTAAGGCAGTTTTGAAACCTGATTTGTTTTATCGCTTTACTAAAATCATCCAGAAGATGGAGCCATCTCCTTCAATTTCGAAACTAATGAATTGTTATAGCTGCCAATATTCAATGATACCAGAAAAAAAAGGAAAAAAAAAAGAAATAAATAAAATTGAATAAATGAGAAAGTCTAGTAAACGAATAAATGAGAATATCTATCAACACTATTATTATAATTTAAATAGAATAAATAGATTTATACAACTTCTGTCCAAACAGAAATTAATATTAACGTTGACAAGAATATCCGTATCCTTTCAAGCACTTGTAAAAAAATCTTGAGATACTGAAATCAGCCATACTGACGGATTCGATTGTTACAACGTTAAAGCAACGAAATTTATGTAGAATCATTTATAAAGTTTGTAAACTTTCTTACACGCGACTGTCATTTCAAACATCCCGCCGGGACAGTGTCGAACGAAAGAAAACAGAAAGGAAAAGATTCGGGAATAATTGTAGGTTCAATTTCACTTGGCAAAGTTATTCGTTCGATATGTCACGCGTCCGAATGAAGATGTAAGAAGAGGTTCTCAATTAATTTTGCAGTACGTACGACGACGGAGGCACACGCAGCTGATCGAGATCGAGCTAATCAAGGGTAACAAGGGCCTGGGTTTCAGTATCGCCGGAGGTATTGGCAATCAACATATACCCGGTGACAATGGAATCTACGTAACGAAAATTATGGAGGGCGGCGCCGCGCAAGTGGATGGCCGCCTCGTCGTCGGAGACAAATTGGTGGCCGTCAGAAATGCTCTGGTGAGTCCCGGCAGAATTATACTCCCTTCGTCCTGATTTCATTCGTCGTCGCACCGCTATCGCTTCCTAGTGACGATGAAATTGT